GGTTACTGTTTTGAGGACTTGGCTCCAACAGGTGGCACTATTGAGAGGTGCTTGGATCATGAGGATGCTAACATCCTTGGGCTTTTAGAATATGGATGCTTCATGGAAGAAGGTCACTGATGTAGCGTCCTAGGGCGTATATTGTCCCAACCCCTGCCTTTCTAGCTCTTTCTGCCGTGAGATGAACAGCCCTTCTCTACCCCATCCTCTGTTATGATAATGACAATGCTCCAAGTACCACAGCCATGGAACTGAACAATCAAGGACCAAAAAGTAGGAAACCATGCGCCAAAATACATCTTTCCTCCTTTGAGGTAACTTTCTGTTTGTTTGTTTGTTTGTTTTAATTTTATGTGTATGTGTATGCATGTTTTGGCTGCATTTGTGTACATGCGCCATATGTATGTGGCTCAAGAGGCCAGGGTAGGTTGTCAGATCCCCTAGAACTGGAGTTATAGAGGGTTGGTGAGCTGCCAGTCTGTGTGCTGGGAACGGAACCCAGATCCTCTACAAGAGCAGCAAATGCTCTTAAACCACTGAGCCATCTCTCCAGCCCCTCCTTTTCCACTCTTTCCTCCTTTTAAACTGATCTTCTCTGATAGTTTTACACCAATATTGCTAAGAACCTAAAGTTGGTACTTGCAAAAATGATATATATCTCTTTTTTAATTTTTTGATATATATCTCTTACCATTGGTGTTACCTGAGATATACTATCCAATTTACAGACAAGTCTTTATTAAGCTGTTTGATATTTATTTTAATATGTCTATTATATATTCTCACACAGATATTTGTGGCTTCATGGGGAGCTGCTTGGAATTGAAAAAAAAAAATATTCCAGTCAGTCAGCAGAGAAATAGTATAGTTAGATGGTGGTATAATCAGTTATATTAGGCATGAATGGAATGGTGGGGGTGTACATAAAGTAATAGAAAACACAACAACAGTCGTTGAAGTGCTGTAAATGTTCCCTCCCTCCTAAAAAGTTTATTCTAGACCATTCCAATTTAATGACTGCCTTATCTCATTTCTCTGTGCCTCAGTCTGTGAAGCGGCTGGAAAGTTTACTGCCATTGAGTTCCTGCAAGAATCAACGAGCTAACTCAGGACTAATGAGTTGAGTATAGAGCACTTAAAAATGATCGTGGCACATAGTAGACACTCAAACGGTGTTAGCTAGTGGGAGTGGTGGAACTTCAGGAGGTTGACAGGCTTCTGCAGCCCTCGATAAATGTGCTCTAGGTATTATTTCCATCTCAAAAAATAAAACATTGGATGGAGACAACTTGTTAAAATGCACACTGCATTGCTGTTAAAGCCAGGCATTAATAAGCTGAAAAAAAAAATGAAGGAATATTTTCTTGTGGCTATATTGTGTTTAATGTATGTTTCATATCTAATCCGAGAGAAAAAGAGCAGCCATGCTTTATCATGAAAATAACTGGTGCAGGGGCTGGAGAGATGGCTTAGTAGTAAAGAGCACTGGCTACTCTTGCTGAGGGCCAGGTGAATTTCCCAACACCCACACAGTGGATACAACTGTCTGTAACTCCAGTTTCGGGGATCTGACACCCTGTTCTGGTTTCAGGGGTTCTAGGTATGCATGCAGCACACTTACATACATGCAGGCAAAACACCCCATGCACATAAAATAAACAAATCTTAAAAAAGAAAAGAGATGCTGTCTTTTGTGCCAAGTCCCTAAAAGTTTAAAGTGAACATCAGAGAATAAGCCAGTGTGCCCACAGTGGAAAGAAACAAGAACTCAGAAGGAGTAACAGGGGAAAGGTTATGGCTCAGAGAAGGATGACAAGGAACCTGCCAATTAGATGAATTGGCCTCACTTTCAATTTGAAGCTTTCCTAACTTACGATTCTCTTGCTGTATTTCTTACGTGTCTTTTTTCGCAAAAATGCTTAGTGTCATATGAAATTATTTGAGTATCTGTTTACATTTTTTTAATTCCATAGGGTTGGGGGTGTGGGTCATTGATAAGATGTTTCTGTCTAGCATGCATGAGGTTCTGGGTTTGAGCCCCAGGACTGCAGAAGAGGAAAAACTTACACATTAGGAATGGGCCTTTGTGAGGTGTTTGGCCTTGGATTTACTGTAACTTATTATGTATACAGTACCTCAATAAAATGGTAAGCCAGTTGACCTGTCACAAATCCTGACAGAGACAGAACCATCAAGACAAAGGCCTCAGAATTCTTTAAAATCATCTTTGAAACCCCTAAAAAATAAAAATACAACTTATAATTTCAAAATGGCAATTACCCTATTTGATGCATTGTATACCTGTGTCAAGTTGTACTATAATCCATAAATACACAAACATATTACATGTCAATTAAAAAATAAACATTATTGAAAGAGACAAATGATTATTTATATTTTCAGAATAGTGTAATTGTCAGCCTAGTTATTTAATTTTCAACTTCTGAGTCATAGTATGTGTGAATAGTTAATAACTATTACAAATGCTATTTGGGTTTAGGAAATTCTATCTATCTTCTCTATCTATGTGCATTCATGGGCATGTTTGCACTGTGTGTGTGTGTGTGTGTGTGTGTGTGTGTGTGTGTGTGTGTAGAGGACAACCTTGTTAAATTGGTTCTCTCCTTCCACCCCATGTGGGTTCTGAGGATTGAACTCAGGAATACAGGCTTGTGAGGCAAGTGCTTTTACTTCTGAAACAACCTCGATGACCCACAAATACAATTTGTTAAGTATAAGATGCATGTAATTAGGCATCCCTCATAGGGTAATATGAAAAATACTGAGGTTTCACCAGCCTCACACTTGCTCACACAGGAACGTGTTAGGACCTCTCCATAGGCATCTTACGGATGAGTTTGATGGTGAAATTAATGAAAAGGCCAAACTTAATACCCATATACTTCATTTTATGCTAATAACCATTCATTCTGTGCTAAAATAACATATACTCCATAATTTTCCTGGAAGACAGAAATACGTGAAACTGACTGTGTCATAAGGAACACCTCCTTCACAGGACAATCATGAAAGGCACTTGTCACTGTCTGGCTGCCTTTAAGTCTGTTCCGTCCAAGACTATTCATCTCTTTCCCCTAGAGACACAAGACTGACCATAATCCTGCACATTTGTGCATAAAGCAAGACCCACCAGCAGCCCAGGTTCTTGCATTCTGCCTCCCAGTAAATAATTGCTGAATACTTCTTATGCTTAAAGCCAGGTAAAGGGCAGGTATTCTTGCTGTTTCTGCAATGCCCTTTGCTGCTGGCCACTTATCTTTACATCCTCAGAGGATATCTAGAGTCGGCAAAGCTCATGGTCATCAGATCATCGTGGGTACCAAAAGGAACCAAAGTCCTTAGTGACTATATTAAAAATCTGTAGACAAAACAGTTTCACACCCTGATAAATGCTAAAATGAAGATTCCCTTTGCATATATTTGTTTCATTGTTGGTCCTACATGATCTTTCTTACTCCAGAAAAGGTTTTGAAGCAGCTGATATTTTTCCTAAGTAAATATTCTTTTAAGAGACTTAGAAACTTTCCTCACAGGAGTTAACTTTAGAATAAGGCACCTGCTTTATTGAGTAAGCTACTTTATCTCTATGAATATTATTCACTACACCTGCTGATTTTTTTTGGGGGGGGGTTGGTTTTTCGAGACAGGGTTTCTCTGTAATGCTTTGGAAGTTGTCCTGGAACTCACTCTGTAGACCAAGCTGGCCTCGAACTCACAGAGATCCGCCTGCCTCTGCCTCCCGAGTGTTGGGATTAAAGGCGTGCGACACCAACACCCAGCACACCTGCTGAATTCTTAACCAATGTTTAGGAGGCCTCTATTTACAAAGCCCTCTCTAATGTTCTTCTAGGAACATTAGAGAAAAGTGGGTGGAGTAAAGAAAAATCCCATCGAAAACCAAAATTGGGGCTGGAGGGATTGCTCAATGGTTAAGAACATTTGCTGATCTTCCAGAGGACCCAGGCTCAGTTCCCAACCCTGGCATTCATGGCAGCTCACAAACAACTGGAATTACCTAGTTTTAGGGGCTGTAGCGCTCTCTTCTGGCCTCTGGAGGCACTGCATGCACATGGTGCATAGACATGTATGCGGGCAAAAGATTCCTACTCATATAATAAAATGAAATCGTCTTTTAAAAAAGGCATAATAAACAAGGTTAATGACACCAACTATACAAATTGCAGATCGTTTGCCTGTGTCCTCTTTGTTTGCCAACCGGTCTCCCCTCATATTGTATATTTGATAAGGGTAGGCCTGGTCATCTAGGCAGTATCGGGATCTCCTTCCTCCTTATTAGAAAATCCTTCACGTCAACACTTAACACATTGCCTCATGATTATTTGTTTGCCTGCCTCCCCCATGCGAAAGCTCCATAATGGCAAGGACTGTCTCCCTCTCTTTAAGGTCCTACCACCCTACCATGCCCAGCTAGTGTTACTGAATAAAGGGATGTAAACAAGTGCTCCTGAGAAACTGAATGAAGCTAGCCTGGCAGTCTTCACTCTCATCTTGACATTCCATGGGCTGCTCTTTTAACGTAGCTGTGATCTCCTTCTACAATGAGAAAAGTTTCTAAAGACAGAGGAGTCTCACATGGCTACTTACCTCCCAAAACAATAGTGGCAAATATAATAATTGTGAAATGCTTCTGGACCACAAAGTAATCGGCTGACCTCCCACAGAGTAAATCAGGCTTGTTGTCATCTTTTGATGCCCAGAAAGATAAATTGTTTAACAATGCTGCTCCAGAAGTCGTTTGCATTATGGCAGACTACCCTGTTGTAAAATGAAAAAAAAAAAAAAAAAAAAAAAAAAAGGGGGGGGGAGTGAGGTCTCCCAGGATCCAATCCATCCACACGCCACCTAACTGAGGTGGTAGCACACTCAGAGCTGAGCGCATTAATGCCACCCACTCTCCTTCATGCTCCAGGAATATTTGCAGGGAAGCAGCAGCAGCGTTTGTGTTGCATCTTCCCAGTACTACCTACAAGTGGGAAGGAGAGGCCCCTGACTGCACTCTTTTTGTCATGATCTGACCATGTGCTTGCTTGGAGCAGTGAGCCTCTCAAAGGCCAAGACTGAGTTTTTGATTTTCATTAAGGCTGTAAATATGGTTCGCAGCACAAGACAGGCTCACCATAAACACCTCAAGGGGCGAACGCTTTGAGAGGAAAGGAGCAAAGACAAACGCCATGCTCCTCATTCTCCATTAGTACAGATCACTCTGGAATTCCACATGACTACTTCAACTACAAAACTTCCTGTTCCTCTCTCAGCAAACGAAAAGCAAAGTAAATTGCTGTGTCACATCAGTTAAAGTAGGGAGTGAGGACGGGGGTAAACAATATTTAAAAAAAAAAAAAACTGCAGAGATCGAGGTTGAGGTTTAATTGTGTGGAGCCTTTGACTGAAGTTAAAAAAAAAAAAAAGAAAGAAAGAAAAGAAAAAGTACCTGTTCCTCAGTGCCGTGAAGCCTGACTACAGGCAGGTGGCTTGTCATATCAACAGGCTGGATACCACCCCTGATGCCCCCACTGAACTGGTGTCCTGTGTAAGACATCGCCTGCATAAATGTACATGATGGTCCCAAGAAGGACTTGGGGTTCTTTTGTTTTTTCTTATAGCTGGCCTTAACCTAACAACTCCTGGAAGTTTCTGAAGGCACCTTAGGAATAGATTTCATCTTTTGCCCGGTTTTATACTTATTTGCTGTCAGTCACAATGATTATAACGTAAAGAAATAGGTGGCCACTACATCTTCAAGTTACTCCATGGCCCTCAAGCAGCTCTTCATCTCCAAGCCCTCCTCCCCATGTTAATGACCTTAAAAGCAAGCTCTTCCCCAGAGACGTGTTCTTCCAAGCCTAAGATGGCTCAGAGTTGTCATCAAACTGCAGCCTTTCAAAATCCCAAAGAGGAGCTCTGTTGTGCTCAGCTCTGCATCTGTTTGCCAGGGTCAGTCCCACCAACTGATACCAAAGCCAAAGCTGTTTCCATGCTGACGCCCCATTGGTTTCTTGCCAACCTGCTTTTGTTCTGATTGGCTACACCCATTATCCCCACCTCCAATCCAAAAGGAGTTATTGAGTTGCAGAGGAGCATGCATTTAATGGCCACACTGTAGTCTGCACCTACAACTGTTTTTAACTGATTTCCTTTGCTTGACATTAACAGATGAAAGGGTCAAATACAGCCACAAAGACAGAACCTGTTGGGTTTTAAAAACATACATGGTGTCTTTTTTATGCCAATACTCTCCAGTTCAGCCCTAACCCCCTTCAATACCGCACTGCCTTCTAAAATTAACTTTAAGCTGGCATTCAAAATAATGGGTTTCCTTGTAACATCTTATATGTACATTACACTTCACTCATATTTGTGTTTCTCACTTCCGCCCCACTCTGCTTTCATGCTGGATCCATCTTACCCACCCATCACCCTCTGGTCCCTTTAGACTTCTTCCCCTACACAGGCCTCCTGATTCATTCTTTCTTACCATTTTCCTTTCCTTCTTCTTCCCTTTCAATATTTAACTTTCCAATTTCCCTTCGTTCGACTCGCCATTGAATTTTAGTTCTTTGCTTGAAGGTACGATGGTCACCCACTCTCCCCGGGACATACTAGTCAACAAATTCTCAACGTCCAGCATGTGATTTGGGGGCTCCGATCTAAATTACTAGAAACAAATTCAGTTAAATATTTCTCCGGTGAACACTAATCTTCAGTTTGCAGTGTGCTGCCATGGAGGAGTTAAGTTGAGTGCAGCGAATTCTATTCTTCCTGTTGCTTACTAATCAAAGTTGCTGCCTGTGCTCTCTCTCCATAGAGCACCAGGGGAACATCACAGCAGGAAGCTGACTGAATCTACTTCTGTGTTAAAGAAACTCTGAAGGACGTCTCAATTCCTAGGGACTGAATTTGAGTCAAAAGTTCTGTATCTGACCCTGAATTATAACTAATCCATCCATGTCACCCTAAAATACTCCGCAGCTTTCTTGTTTGTGTAGATGTCTGGTTTTCTTGCCCGAGAACTTTCCCTATGCTGCCTTCATTCTCCTCAACTGGTGCCCACCTCACTATGCTCTCTCTCATTTGCACCTTTGTTGCCTTGGCACCTCAGCTGTACTGCCTCAGGTCATTCTAAACAATGCCTTTCCCTGCTGTGTTTAGCTCCTGTTTCACTGTTGTCCCCCCAGGCTCTCTTGGTTCCCCCAAACCTTGTGACTATAGCTCTTGTAGTTTTAAGTTTTAGGTTTCAAGATTCAGGTTCTCCAAGTCCACAGACCTCGGGAAACATGGACAGAGTGTGTATTCAGCTCTGGTTTAGCCATGGTACTGAAAGCCAGAGACAGCATCTAACTAAACCACAGGGATGGACGAGCAGTTCTTCATTACAACCTCCCTGGTAGACAGCCTTTTTAAAAGTCATAATAAATTTATATTTTACACTTGGGAAGCAGAGGCTAAGCAGATCTCTGAGTTGAGGCCAGCCCTGTTTATAGAGCAAGTTCTAGGACACTCAGGGATACACAGAGAAACCCTGGCTCGAAATAAGAAATAAATAAAATGCATATTTCACCGAGAGCAAAGCCAGCAGAGGTAGGTGTTGACAGCCTTGGGGAGCTCGGAAGCTGAAGTGGGCTTTGCCCCATCCTATCTTCTGATGACAGGCTATGCTGTGTGACTGGGACGGGCCAGCAATACAAGTGGATCAGTCATAATTTTCCATCTCCCAATAAGTTGATTTGGTCAAGGGTGGACATGGGACTGCAGAAAGGTAGGTCAGACAGTTTCCTATGCAAGCATATGCCACCACTGAGAAAGGAAGATAGCTGTGGCAGTTCCGTTTCCATCTGGGTGTGGCTGTGATGCCACCTGGAACACCTGGAAACCATCTTCCCGGACACATAGGGAAAAAAAAAAACCCTATTGTCTGAGAACCCCGAGATGCCATCTTAGGTGTTTCTGATTAACAGATGCACTTGTAGTTCTACCCTGGATTTTATCGTTCCCCAGAAGTCATTTCTTGGTTTCATAACCTTTGTCACCTAGAAAGACTGGGAAGTAAAGAGCAATTTCAATTTCAAACCCAGGAGCTACTGGAACATTTACAGTTCTAATTTTACTTGAAAGCTGCTGTGTTCCTTTCTTCAGCTCAGACCCTTCCACGTTAGAAACGGTGAGGTGGCTCTGGGGTAAGTTGGGACATATTCACTGAATCTTTGTGTTCATTACATAACATCATAAAAACTTCCTGTGGCCTCATAACAAGAGCCCTTTGCTCTAGCTTGCAAGGGACATTTCCCTCCTTCTTATAGACTCCCTCTAGTAGCCTCATAGAGGATCTGAAGGCTTCTGGTCGGGCTATCCTTAAGGACTGGAGGTTGTCACTCATGCTCCCCCAGGAGACATTTGCAGCTGCAACCCACCATCCAGTTTCAGAACCAAAGACACGTTTTCTGGGCTTTATTGTGTCACCTGACATTTCTGAGTTCCAACATGTGTATATTTTACTGAGTTGTGTTTACGTGTTATATTTTACTGTGTAGCCAATAAATACAAAACCCGGTGACTTAAAACAAAACATTTATTTAACTCAACAGTCCATGACCCTGGTAGGACTCAGCAGAGAAAGTTGTCTCCACTCCATATAGCATCAAATATTTAGTGGCTCGATTGGAGAATCCACTTCCAAGATGACTCACTCGTAGTCGGGCAGGTTGGCAGCAATGTTTAGATGGATGGAGTGAAGTCAGAGTTGCAGGCTTGAGCCACAGTTCCTTTCCTTGTTGGTCTCCTCACAGGCTGGTTTCTAAGGTGGTATCTTAAGAGACTGAGGCAGAAGTCACATCACCTCTTATAACCCAGCCTTGGAAACAACACAGAATTGCTTTCAATTATGGTCATGGGCTCCCCAGATTCAAGAGAGCTCAGAGACTTGTATTTCTACATTAGAAATGGCAGGACCACATAGTAAGAGGAGTGAGCAAGATAGGTATATAGGCTATCCTGGACAATATAATCCACTGCATATTAGACAAACACTGGAGTAATTGGCAGCCTTTTACAATGTGGGTTTTTTGTTGTTGTTGTTGTTAAAATAAACATCAGTCTACCTCCATTGTTCTAGGGCAGTAGTTGTCAACGGTTATATACTACATCAGTTCTGGTGTATGATGAAATTCTATCATACATGGCAAAATGAGAAAAGTAAATCTAACCAAGTTCTAACTGTCATCTCAGCCTAAATATGGCTTAAAAGAAAAATAACAGCAACGAAGAAGGGCACCTGGCCTCTTCCCAGTGATCCCAGTGCTGATGTGCACAAAGTATCCTGAAATACATGTATTAAAGGGGCCAAACACAGGTCCCCTTCTCCTGCCAGCAGCGAATACTCACTCGGCGTATCCCACAGATGGACCAATATTAATGTTGCTACTGAAGGACGCCAAATGGGAATTATTCATATAGTTAAAAGATCTCAAAAGTGAGATTTGGGAAAACATTTAAACCAAGATTACCTCAATGCTGTGTCCAAGAGAATATCACCTAGCGAGTGTTACTATGAATGGCTTCCTTGTTTTCTTTCTCCTGCTTCTTTGCTGTTAAAACATCTTTTGTTATATAACAGTGATAGAGGGCAGAAATTGTTATTTTAATAATGTTATGTTAATATCCTACCTTTATATTTTTACATTTTTATGGTCAATGAAACACAAAACCTAAAGAACTACCAGCTGGAACTGTTTATAACATTGAATTAGTTTTTGACTACCTTTCAAATACTGTGGCGGCATTCCTGAATTGTTAGCATGTACTTCTAAAAAAGGAACTACTCTATGCAGGTTCAGCTAATAATCCATGCAGCTAATGAAATAACATCAAACTCACAGCATAAAGGCATTTAAGTCTTCCATTAACCTATCTCTAAGTCAGTGCAACAGTAAATAATAATTGATATCATCTCTTCCAAACAGAAGGTAT